TCCCCACGTTTTTCTCGCCTCTTTTCTTTTCTTCTTTCTTGTATGTTTTTTTCTTTTTTTTAATAAAATAAACGACGACTCTAATCGCCTTTTAATTTTCTTCTGAAAAATATCAACGAATCGATAAATGGCATCTATTTAAATTACATTTTAAACTTCTAGATTTTCTAGATCACATAGCTCTCTGTTCATCTTTTGTACAATAGTTTGAGGATACCTTTGACGTCAACGAGAGACCCGATTCTTGATATTTTCTATGCTCGTATCACTTATTTTTTTCCTTTCATTCTTTTTCTTTTTTTCTTTTTTTCTTTATGGTGCTACACACACACATGACAGTATCATCCCTTTTTAAAAAATTCTTATTCGACTTTACATATGACTTATATTTACAACAATAAATTGAGGAGATGGCCTTCCAAGGAGATCGTCTACTAACTTATAACTAAATCGACGAACTCGAATAATTGGAAACATTATTCGTTTCCATTCGAGAAAAAAAAAAAAAAAACGCGACTAGAACGAACATGTCCTACCGCGATAAATATGAAAGACAAAAATTCAAAACGGCAATCTTCGCCAAAAATTCAAAGACGCGATTGGAGCGCGTAAATTAATTTCAACGAAAAAACGATCAACTTTTAATTCAACTAAAAATTTCGATCCGTTAAAACGAAACCGTTAAAAACCAAAGGCGATCTTCATAAATTAACATTTAACGCGCGCTTTGTTTTTTCGCGTTAAAAAAAATAACATTATCAATAAAACGGAAAAGAAAGAAAATAAATTCGAGGTAAACAATAAGCAAAACAATTCGTACTGAAATGGCAAATATTCAAATAGTCCCCTTAGTATGCCTTGCTCCTTACTCATCTCTGAAATATTTTTTTCGCGAAAAACAATCTTTTCTTTCGAAACTTTCTTCAAGAAAAATTGCTTAAATTGCCTTTTCCCTTTCTCGAAAATCATCTCAAAATATGATGACACTTCTTCTTTTCTTGCGAAGCATGATCTCACTATAAAATCTTTCTCTCGACTTAACCATCCTTTCTACCGCTAATCTTCTTTCCTCCTCACGAGAAGACCATTTCCACAAAGGTTTTTTTTCCCCTTCCTTTTCCACAAAGGATCCAGAATTCTTTTTTGCAAATGCTGCCCTCTTCTCTCGACTTTCATAACTTTTCCTTAATATCGAATCCCAAAGGGAAGATCTGTCTCCGAATTATAAAAAAAAAAAAAAAAAAAAAAAAAAAAAAAATTAGAATCTCGGTTAAATCTCTGCGCAAAGGGGACTAGGCGAGCGGAGCGATTGACAGCAACCCCATGGAAAGAGCCATGTGGCTCAGCACCTTGGCGAAAATTTCGGATTGGTAGGGCCATGGATGTAACTTCGTAATTCCTTTGGTGGTTCTGACCCGAAATCCGACGCCGTGTCCACATCGGACTTGCGACAAATAATCATACGAATGTCCGTGTGCAAGTAAATTCGGCCTGACTTACCGGACATAAATCTGAAACAAAACGAATTTTGTTTTAACATCGTAACAGAGAAGTTTTACTTTTATTCATTGTTACGAGTGCAAGTAGTAATTTTAAACGGTTAATTGAAAATCAATTGTAGAAAAGAGAAACGTGTAAAAAGTGTAAAATAGAAAAAAATTAATAATCGTGGCTTCGAGATACCTGCATTGATTCGATAAAAATATACGTTTGTACATTTACAGCATATACGGTTTATTTTGAAAGATTATTCATACGAAGAAGCCTCGATTATCTTTGCCAATCATTGCCAATCATGAAAGCATTAAAATTTTAATCAATATATGTATACAACATATACGCATTATCTATTATAGATCATGGCGAATAATCGAAGCGTTAAAGTTTGAACAAAATGGATAAAATTTGATATCTTTAATATAACAAGAAACATAGATAGACATATACGAACCTAAGATGTACGAGGTAGCGTAGTGTTTTGTCCCGCAATGTTCTCTGACGTAAAAAAGTATGAGATCGTGGTGGCATATCAGAAAGATCGTATAGTACTACGAACATTTTAACGACTGTACCCAAAGGATTGAGGAGCGTTACTTGGATAGTACCGCTTCTTGGTACTTGGTAGCCCTTTTTGCCCAAATTAATATGTGCCTAAAAAGAAACGTTTTAAGAATCGTATTTTCATCCTTACTTAATTATTGTAAATGTAAATTATTGAAACGGAAAATTGACAAAAAAAAAAAAGGAATACAACGAAAAGGAAGACAGATGTAGATGTACGTACGAGATAGGGCGTAGAAACTTTATCATTGTCACCAAGCGTATAGAAGAACACAGTGACTGGAAGCTTTCGATGTTTCGGACAGAAGGAACCGCTCGCGCCTAATTCCGCCGTGAAACCGTGAACGGTCGACACTGGCTCGAGTCTGCCGTTCAAAGCCGATTCCTCGAAGCTGCCTAGAAGGGCATGACTTTGCGGTCTGCTGCGGGAAGTCGAGCGTCTTTTCGGTGTTTCCTCTCCTTCGCCTGCATTCTCCGCCTCTCGATCAGCCTCTTCCAAAGACACCGCGCCCGGACTTGGCGGAGTGTTCAATTCGAAAAGAGCGCTAAAACAGTTGGAAAAAAGAGGTCTTGCCTTAAAAGAAAAGAACAGAATACTTTGGATCGTTCTCGTTTCGACACGATGTCACCGTACCTTCTCTTCGAGGAGACAGTATTCAGACTGCTATCGTAATCGAAGCAACAACTGCCTCTTCTCAACGGAGCTGGACTGGACGTCAAGGGCAAGCCTGTTCTACTGTGAAACACCATCGAGGCTGCGTTCTCCAAGGATCGGCGAAATCTCTCTTGCTCGATGGCAGTTGGCACAGCCTTGTCCATTGTTTCGTCGTCATCCGTCGCGATGATGTCCTTGCCGAGATTGTGGCACCGAATTTTCTTCCCGACACTCGAGACAGAATCCTTGCAAAGTTTCGACACGACGCCCCCGTCCTCGTCGTCATCGAGCTCCGTCACTCCGTCATCCTCGTTTGTACTATGCAGTCTATTTCGCCATTTGGACATCTCGACTTCGTCGTAGTCGCCACTGTCCTCCTTTTTGTAATTTGTACTATAGATTCGATTCGAATTTTGATGTGCGCCATTTGTACTAAGCTCTGAAGGATCGTCACGCTTCTCCGCCTCTCTCTCTCCGCCAAAGTTCGAGAAGTCTATCCTCCTCTTCGCCTTGCTATCCCTCAAATTTTTTGGATCGTGCAGGCTGGGCTGGACGTTGTTGTACGAGAACGAACGAGCTTGACGCGCCAAGTGTTGTATCGCGTCTTGCGAATTGTCCTCTGTCGTTGCAGGAACCGATTTTTTCTCTTGCTCCTTTTTGAACAGTTGGCGGAACCGATTGAACCTCTTGTTCAACACCATGGGTAGGAACTTGTCGTCCTCCAACGGCGCGGTTCTCTGCTCCTGGCGCGACGAGCTCTTCTCACAAGCTACGCTATTTCGATTGCTTTCCGTTCGTTGATGCCCGTTGGCAACGGCACGGACCTCGACTTGGTCCCGTTCTGAATCTCCGACAGACTGCTCCCTCGGTCTTTGCTGGTTCGTAAAATTGCTCCCAATAATATGTCCGCTTTGTTCGACACGACGTTTTGCAAACAATCCATCGTTCCGTCGTTCGACCGTTTCTCGGAATTATTGCATTTGATCATCGCCTGCAGATCCTCGTTCGACTCGTCGCTCTCGAGTTTCTCGCGTTTCTCGCGAGGGTTATAAATATTCTTATTGCCATAAATCTCAACGAAATTGGTCTTCTCTAAAGCTTGTTGGTCATTTTTCCTGCACAACTTGTGGTTACAACCTTCGCAGGGCTTGGCGCGGTTCACTATGTTGTTCGCCGAACACTCGATGCTTTCCAAGTTCCCGTATTTCCCTATCGATTTCTCCGATCCATCTTCCACGGATCTCTCCAACTTCTCCCGTTTCTTAATCGTCCTGATACCCGTCCTCTTGCGCTCGGATGGCGTGCGAGCCCTCAAAACGGCCAGAACCTCGTCGAACTCCTGCTGGCTCAACTCCAAGTTGCAATTTTTAAATCTCACCTCGTTCTGCTGTTGCTGCTCCTGGCTCTTCAAATTCGTCGCTTTCACCTTGTTCTCCACGAAGCCACTGGCCGGCGCCACCCCGAGGACCCGTCCAGGAACTTTGCTGAACCAATCCAAGAAACCGCCTTCCTCCTTCGACTTCTCCTTATCCTCGGGGAACGAGAGTTTCGATATCAACTGGCTCAAATCCTTGCCAGACCTCCCCCTGTTGTTGACTTCCTCCACAACAGCTTCGAGTCCGGGATTCGATTCGGAATTCGATAATTTGTTGGACGATTTCACGCAGCTTTGATGCACCATGCAAGAGGAGTTCAAGGAGTCTTGCTTGAGTCGGTTATTCGTCGAAGGCCGGGATTTGATTCGTGGAACGGACTAGGTTGCCTGAACGGATTGATCACGAGACTCGAATCCTTGCTGACTGCCGGTTTGTTGATCCTCTCGGAATCGTTGAAATAACTTTCCTTGTTTGCACGCAAGCTCTGAAAAGCGCACTTCCCGTTCGCGTTACTGTTATTCCAAGATTCGACGAAAGACCATGGCAACGAGGGATTGAACGGTATCAAATTCTCGAATATTCCATTTTTCTCCGTCGACTTCTCCGCCTCCTTGTGCTTCTTCTCCAAATTGCACTGTTTCTCCTTGCAATTCGTGGACGATCTCAACTCAGGAGGATCTTCGATCGTTCGCTTGTACCGCTTCTCCACGTTCCCTTCCCGCCCGTCGATGTTCAACTGAGCCTTGAAACACCGCTCCAGATTGTCAGCGTTCAAATTCTTCCGATTTCTGATGGCGTTCTCCTCGAGCTTGCAGTTTTGATTCTGCACAGACTTGACGCTACGATTGTTCACGATCTCGGACGGGTATTTCGGATAACTCGAACTTTGAACATCTTTCTTTTCTTGCGTCACGACAGTCTCCTGCACCGAGGGCAGACCTATCGGTTGAATCGTCACGCAGTTGTTCGTATCCGTAGGGCCGCAGGGAAGCGATCGGCGACGTTTCCTCTCGCGGTTTTGCCTCGAGATCACCGGTGATGGTGGTGGAATGTCCTCCTCCTCGCACGGGCAATGATGTTTTCCAGGCTTGTTGCAAGGCGTTTGCAGTCTGTCGTCCACTAAAGCTGTTTCAAAAAAAAAAAAGAACGAAAAATAAATAAATAAATTCGTTTGTTCAACGATTCGGCCATTTTAAACATTTTTCGAGTATCAACCTCGTCGATTTATCGATCGTGAGATATATATATGTATGTATATATATATATATATATATGATCGCGTAATTAAGGAAAAGAAAGCCGATGAAGATGATACTCGAAACACGGGAACGTATCGATCAAGATTGCAATTGCCCTGATTACCAGGCAAAACAAGGCCTTCGTTATTTTGCGCAGCGCTGGGAACCGGGATAGCCTTGGTGGGTGTCAAAGCCCTCGCGACACCCTCCTCGTCTTTCTCTTTGATCGGGTGCAATGGGCAGGTGAGAACTGGCACCTCCTCCATCCTCGGCAGTGCCCACACGGTGACCTAAAATTTACACGAGAAATCCTCTTCAGCTCCATTAAATGCAGTAGTGCGCGGTACTCGGAACGAGATTGGGTAGCCGGTGACTCATCTGCTGGTTAAAAGTAGGCATTCGTTAGTGTCCTCGAACTACCAGAATAGAACCAGAATATGGAGGGTACTCCGAGAACGTGGACGAGAGGACCACCATGCGAATTACATGGACAGTTCGAGGAACATTGACCTCGCCTTTATCTCAAGTGAAACGCATCGTTTCGAGCGTTCCCAGCGAGCTGTTGCTTGCCAGGAAATCCTTGGATCAATTAAGAGCATCTATCTTCGCGTGAAGAGCTTTCAGCTAATGTGAATACTTTTTTTTTTTTTTTCACGAACGAATTTATGACAACGAATATTTTTGAAATACGAATACAAATGAACAAAAATTCGACATTCATTTCGACAATGTTCCTGCTTTTAAGGTTTAACCGGACGAAATTTGAAACGATAACTTATTATAATTTGATTTACTTTTATCGAGTTTCCATCACTGTTGCCGGCCAAAGGGAACGTGTGCTCGACAGGGGTCTCGCGAAACTTTCTCAGATTGTCTTCGTTGTAGGGCACCATTCTCGTCACGATGTAACTGGGATCGGTACCGTTGCTCCTCGACCACCAAGCGGCGACTTGGCTGAAGTGAAGTCGCGAACGAACTGCCTGATACAATCCATAGAAGTTCATGGTCTCCGGACTCCTGACAAACCATTCAAACCGTTCGTTAAATGAGGTAAGAAACGGGAGTAGTTTTTTTTTTTTTTTGTAAAGAATTTTTCCGATTGAAACAAATTTTTCTTTCACTCACTTGCTAGGAACGACGCAAACACACCAATACTCCAGCAGCATTTCCGACGCTTGTTGCCACGGTGAAATTGATAAGGACGGCACGGTGCAGATCGGATTCTTGTTCGTACATTTCGCCAAACCGCATGGACAGTTGCTGCACAACACTACCTCGATGCACAGGAACGAGCCGATTGCAACACGGTCCGCGATCTCTCGGACCAGCACAAGATATCGATCGCACTGCAAGGATCGCGTGAAAGAAAGAAAGAAAGAAAGAAGAAAAAGGGGGGGGGGGGAAATTACGCAAATTTTTAAATTTTAATTTCGCGAAAATGTTTCGAACAAAAGAATATTGTTTAAAAATGATCGCGAAAACAATGATCGTTTCTCTCTTGTTACCAGGTAATTATCTTCCTCGCACACATGGTCGTTCGGCACCGTCTGCGTAGGAGCTGCACAATGCGGGCCCTCTTTGTAACCACGTGGAGGGCCCTGAATCCTCCCCTCGCACACCAGGACTCCAAGGGCTCGGAACATGCTAAGAATGCCACCCCGACCGCCAACCCCATTTGGGCTGGGAATGCCTCCTGTCACCGCGCCTAGGCAGTGCATACCTGCAACGTAAATTATAAATTAGGTTAGTGATAGGAAAAAAAAAAAAAAATTCCAAATTTTCTTATCATCGCGATTTTTCGAACCCCTCTTGCTCGAAGAAAAAATATGAAATTTGGGACAAGCAACAACAACGACAATAATAATAATAATAATAATAATAATAATAATGATGATGATGATGATGATGATGATTCGACGAAATTAGAACAACGAAGTTTTCCACAGCGACGAAACTGGCACGAACACGAACCTGTGCGCATTCTCCTTCTGTGGAAGCAATTTCCAACGCACTGCAACAGGATCGTCGACATTTTCGAGAGCTGCTCTCGGGGGAATGAAAACTGGAACGATTCGCGCACGACCTCCGCTATCGTTAATCTTAAGCTCACCACCACAACAACCACCACCACCACCACCACCACCAACACCACGTATCATGCTTCGAACCTTGTTCGGGTACTGTGACTTTTCTCTTCAGCGGCGTCTTTATCGAAGAGAATAAACTTTGCTGCTCTCTCTCCGTCACGTTTCCAACAACGAGAATGGGCATGCCTCATCCTCGTTTTGTTCCTTCGTGAATCACGGAGGATGTGTAAAATAGTTTTGTTCGCACTCTTTTGTCCTCCACTGATTCATCGAATCCCTCCTCCTCCTTTTACTTTATCACCAAAGAAAGAGGGGAAGAACCTTGTTGTTGGGCGCGATCCCATTGTTCCAAGCCAAGTCTCTCGACGGCAAAAGAGAGATAACGATCGGTCGATTACAATTACAACGGGTAAAACTCATCCGAGAGCTGAAAATCATCGTCGTGCAGGGGATATTGGCCGTGGTCTTTTTTTTTTTTTTTTTTTTTTCCTTCACCCGATTTCGTCCTCTCCTCGGTCATTATGTAAAGGTGAATACGCACACTCGGAGGGCGATGGGCATTATTTATAACTTTGCCCGCCGCCATATGCGGCGAAAGCGAGCAACCAACCGGATTGGCTTCCTCGCCGCTTTTCTCCGCCGCGTTTCAGCATTCGAGCGAACCAACACAGAACCAACACGCTATCCGCTCCATTCCTTCCATGGAAAACGCGAAAATTTTCTCGGCATTTAAACGTTCATCGATTTTTCGAGACAGAGAAAATTTCCATTCGAGAGAAATCGTTTCCTTTAACTTGATTTATAGTTTTTGGAAACAACACGTTTCCCTCGCTTGCAAAATTCCTCTCCGTTTTACACAAAATCCGAAGATCGATCCTTTGCGCGCGAGGAACACGTGCCAGCGTGAAAATAAACGGGAAAAATCTGCGAATCGAGAGAAATCGGCGATAACCTTCCAATCCGTTAAAACTTCTTCCTGTTGAATGTGACAACACTTCTCGACACTCGACGATCAACCAACGATTCGCCCCTCCATTTGTTGCGGATTTGTTGCCACATACCGTAGCAGACAAAGGAGACGATTATGAGCCGCACTCGACTTCGGATTCGCGATTAGGCGACGCGAAAAGTTGCCGGGCGAAGAAGGAGGGCTCGACTCGTGCGGCGAGGAATTTGAATAGAGAAGAGCGCGGCCCCAACACTCGCCTCTTTCGCGTGTGTCGAGGGTCTGTGTACAAGGGAGAGAGCTTGTGGGGCTCCACGAGGGTGATCGTACTCGGGTGTCATGCGCAAAAAGTTCGCAACCCTTGGCAAACTCCTTCGAGAGACGGGCTATCGGGATTAAGAGGCAACGGATATATCGTAATCGTAGCGAGCGACAAATCGATCGAAGGAAGAGCGCTTCTCGATCTTGATGAAT